ATGTGAAAACACTGCTTTTCGAACGTTCTAGTTTCAGTTTTTCAACTTTGAACGCGTATTACAGCAATATGGATAGAAGCACAGGAATGTGTCTATACTTGCTGGATTCCCCAAACATTCAGCTTTCATATGCATATATTGGATTCATTCTATCTATTATAGTTTTCGAGTAAATCAATGAAATGTGGAAACACGCTTTTGGTTATATTGCTTTCGTTTGAATTAAGGTTCCATAGAGACTACTGAAGATGGCGCTAGATGATTTTCAATCAATAAATCTGTTGGTATAGGATGTTAGCATGGCCTGTTATTGTTACTTGCTTGTGTTTTTGTGTTTACTTGTGCTGGTCAGTGCTGGTCAGTGCTGTCACCTAGGATGTCAATATTTGTTGGTTCAATTTAACATTCTTATGTTTGCCAACCTGCATCCTCACGTGTTGGTTAGTGTATTTGACCATTGTTAACCTAACCAACAATATAACCTCAGACAAGTTTTGAATTTGTATACTTATGAAATCGTTTATTTTTGCAAGAGATGTGTGACTACGACGTGTACGTTGGGACCGCGAGGGGTGCCCTTGTTTGTAAGGAAAATAATATTAATTTCTCTTCAAAAAATATTTAATGATTTGTTTTCGTAGATTCACAATGTACTCCAAATGTAAAAAGTAAGTACGAATTGAAGAATTTGAAAGGTGAGGTGACTGCTTTGGAATGGACGAACAAGGAACACGAGTTAGCTGTTGGCTTTGATACTGGTCAAGTGAGCATATACAATACAGCACAGAACGAATATACGAAACATTTAAGAGAACTGGAAGGTGAAGGACCTGTTGTTGGTATTGGTTGTCACAATAACAGTTTTATTGTTGGACGAGAGAATGGTATTGTTAACATCTGGAATGGAAAAGAAAACCAAACTTTCAAAGTACCATTGAACGAGGGAAATGTGCCCATGTACTGTATGGCATATAACAAGAACACCAAGGTGTTTGCAACTGGCGGAGAAAACAATGGTCTTAAAGTTTGGGATGCTGAAAAATTGAAGCCCGTTTTTAAAGCAGCCTCTGTAAGTAACTAGAATATTATTAGTTGAATTGAATTGCATTATTTTATTTTTAATATTTTAGTTGGGACGTGACTTCCTGGATCTTCATATTCGAGTGAGTGTGAGGAGTTTAACATTCTTCCCCAACGAGGATCACATCATTGGTTGTGCGACAAAGGAGGGAATGGTACTCTTGTATGATACTCGTGTCAAGGACAAAATGCCAGTCTGTAAGTATACTGAAGAGAAGGCAAGTTATACTGTAATAGCTGCAGGACAGAAAGACAGGTTCGTTTGAAAATAATTTATATAATATATGTGTCTTTATAGTTGTTGATTTATTTTAGGCAATGTTTTGTTGGCACAACTAAAGGTTTCTTGCAATTGATAGATATGAGCAAACCTAAAGCTAAACCTATCAGGACTCTCAAATGTTTCACAGGTTCAGTAACTGGAGTTACTAGCATTGGTTTTGGATCGGTAGCAACTATATGCTTAGATAGGTATCTGAGAATACATAATATTGATACAAAAGAATTATATTTCAAGGTATGTTTATAAATTTCACTTTTATTTTGCTTTATTAAATGAAAAACTTATTTTCTTTTTCCAGGAATATATGAAAATGAATTTAACTAAGATCGTTGCAAAGCCGAGGATTAAGGAGGAACCCAAAGAGGAAGATGAGGGAGAAGTTATAGAAACCGTCGAGGATCGGGAATATTCGAAGCTCTTTGATGATATGGAAATAATTACGGAAGATAATGAGGAGGCTCCGAAGAAATTGAAGAGGAAAACGAAAACAAAATTGAATTCGCGCAAGAAGATGAAAAAGAATTCAGATTAAACTGATACGTATCATGTATTTTTATGTATTTTATATATTTCGTTTCGTTTTTAATAAAACTTGCAAATTCTTTTTATTTCGTATTTACAATATTCACATTCTGTTAATTATATTAAAAAATCTTAATAAATTACAATATACTACAAATATATTATTATTATATTAACAATGTAACTACGTTCGCATTCCGTATTCCATTCCTCGTGTATACATGTAAAAAGAAATTAAATCATACTGCTGAAAAATTATAAGGTATAAATACATTTCATTATATAGAATAAATGTTGTTTATTATTATTATTTTTTTTGTACCAATGAGACACACTTGAAGCTAACACACTCAAGGCAATATTTAGGCATATATTGGTTAGTAATTGGATAAGTTACCCTGATCGTATAATCGTTTAGTTATAGTAATAATACATTTTACATAAATCATCCAATCTTGTTACGATTACGACATGGAGGAATGCCAATATGTCTGTCCAATATTTGGTTTGAAACGGCAGCACTGTTAGCAATTCTCTTAGGACTCGGAAGACTTAATATCAAAAAAAAAAAACGTTTGAATATTTATATAGAAACACTGAAGGCAATAATCAGGCTTTTTCGTTACAACATTTCTCTTCTCGTCATGCATATTTTTGGCAACTTATTTATGAAATTACGCAATTCTTATCTTTCTCCTCTTCTGCTACTTTCTTGTTGCTAGGAGATTTCAACATACCGGCCTGACGACGCCTGGCGCAGGCCAAGGCGTCGTTCGGTACGTAGCTAATCCTGACTCCGCCATATGCACGTCGTGGCGGCAATTGGTAATCGAGATCATCGCTGGAAGAACTTGACGAACACGTTGAGCAGTAGCTATCGTCGTCGTCGTGATGCGATGTATTTTTGCTGGTCGTCGGAGCGCTGCTCATATGAGATTCCGAACTGGTTTTCCTGGGGGCCTTCCTGCTGCTGCTGCTAGACGATTCGCTGTGTTTGGATCGGCCCGAGTAGCTGCGACTTCGAGGGAACTTCTTCGTCTCTACGTTGTCCGTTTCATCAATTTCGAAGGCCTCGTTGTCACCCTGAAATCGAACCTTCCCTTTCTTTGGAGAGCTTGGAGTTGGAAGCGGCGTGGTATCTGTAGATTTGGCCACCTGCAGCTCAGGCATGGAAGACGCGTGCGGCGGGTTATCCTCAAGGGTCTTGGATTCGTCCAAATCTCTAGGCCAATCGTCCAAGCTAAGATCCGCTAAATGCAGAGGTTCCCTGCTGCGATCTCGGGCGTGCAGTAATTTCTCCAAGTCTTGCGTTGACCGTTCGCATATCAACCGTTCCAGATTCCTCTCCAGTAGAACGCGATCCAAACCTTTCGGACTTGAAGGCACCTTCTCCTCTTCTGTGCTGTTATCCGTTTTCGGTGATTTCAACGCTCTCCGACCCATCTTCGGGGATCTCGGTAGACTGCTTTGCCTTGAGTATTGGCCGTGCAGCATGCTTGGTGGTGATGAAGGAGAGCTTGTTGGTGAAGGTGGGACTAACCTTCTAGGAGAAGGCGGGGTGCTGGAATCATTTGGACTTGGGATTCGTTTCGGTCGTTGTCTTGGTAGTCGTACTCCAGGACCGGAGCTGTCGGATGGCGTCGGAGGTTCGCCTTTGCTGCAGGCTATGGAACAATAAATGGCACCTCTGCGTGGCAAGAAAGGTCTTCCTAGCAGCGAAGTCCTGCACGTGTGGCAGCAGAAGCAGATTTCGGTAGCGTGCCAATGTTGACCCTCGTGAGACATCTGTCCTTGGTCAACACCGATCGGTTCTCCGCAGGAATCGCAGTATTCTGCAAACATAGCATCGAAGCAGTGGAGACAGTAGGGCCTTCCGTCGCGCATTATGTAACGTTGTCCGCCCAATTGCCGTTCGCATTCCGAGCACGCGAAATGCTTCATGTGCCACGCTCTGCCTTCGGCTTCCGTGCATTCATCAGCCAAGATGATCTGAAATACAACAACAACACCACGGATTAGTATAATAATACTTCTTTAAAATAATAAAGTCATCACATCATCATCATCATCTTTCAGCATCCACTAAAATTCTATAATTTAATAAAATGAATATATCCAAATTATCCTGAGATGATTAAAGAAATGAGATGTTTCTATGAAAGATCGGTTAGTAGTGTTTGTTAAAGTTAATAAATAAATTGATATGATTCTAAGTACTCAAAGTACGATCTGTAAATTGTTGAATTCAACAAATAGTCGAACAGTTAATACAAGTTATTGGATGTAATAATGATATGTGATTCCAATCAAATCCCAATTCTAAGACTTTCACATTACATGATCCCTACCTCGTCGCAAGCCGAGCACCTGGGTTTGATCGTTTCCGCGTGATGTCTTCCGCAGTAGAGGCGTCCTTCCTTGAAGAAATAGATCAGATCGACAAGCAATTCCCGACAGACGAAGCAGCAGAAACATCCCGGATGCCAGCAAGTGTTCGGTCCTGCTCTGGATGCGAACACGCAGATATCTCCGGTGGAGAGTGGCTCCTCGCACTGCAAAACGAGAGCAAGAAGATGAATAATAGTAAGAAGAAAAAGCAAAAAACAATGAGACATCTGTGATTCAGTTTATGGACGTCATTATTGGCTGCCAGACGAGACATCCGAGTGTACACAACTAGTGTACATCTCGATGCGATGAGGAACATTATTAAAAGTGGTTTATAGAGGGTTCATACCGTTTATGGCGTGGGTGTTTACGGTTACAGTGATGGTGGCGCGGCCGTAAATCATAAATGCAAAATTACATTCCCCCTCCGATAAATCTAATGAAGAAATGAAGTACGCAAATTGAAACGACAAGAGGAGATGCAATAATCAAACGTTCGGAACAGTTATCCACGATCCGCAGACGTAATCATTTATTATCCGCAAACGTCAGTTGACGACGGAACAATGTTTTCAATATCACACACACACACAATATCATCTACTGCATTCTCATTTATCTTTACTCTGCTAGGAGATCTTAATTAATGCTTTATAGAAACTAGCAATTATTACTTATAAAAATAAACGAAACTACTTGTTTAATTGGAACAATGTTAACCCGGCGCATCCGTAATTCACAAAAAAATGTTTTATGATTTTTTTCGAAAGTTACATAAAATTGTGGAGAGGTTTAAAACTCAATATATAAATCATTATTTTATTATTATATATGTGTATTAATAATTCATTATTATAATAAATGTATAAAAGTACCAGCGTTTCTCGACCCAACATATTTTGTTGTTGTACTGCTGCCCAATTGCTTATATAATCAGTTCCTCGTTTTAATGCAAAGTAACAACTGCAACCATAGGTTGAGAAATGGTTTCTGTGGTTTTTTGTGGCTCAACTAATAAATAAAATATTATATATTAACTTTGTTTTTTTTCTTCCATTTTCCAATTCTAGAAGTAGGTGTTTATCAAACGACTTCATCGTATAGCTAAACTGATAGTCGTTAATGATTGTATTTCATGTGGAAGTATTCCTGATTGTATCTACTATAAATGGTGGCGCTCTCTAACGGCACCACATAACATGTTTCTATTTTATAGAAGAATAGTTCCTTCATTGGGAATCGATAGAAATGAGAGGAATTAGTTATCCAGAAAATCATTCCTTTGTAAAGGAACAATATATAAATTATGTCTTGTTGCATGAATTTTAAATAGAATAGAATGCTTGACACTATTGACACGAAAAATATTTGCAAACTTTTTAAAATATGCACTAATATCATGATTAAATATAATTATTTGCGTAACAATTATTCCCAACGTATAAAAGAAATGCGTCTGAGATAATTGAAAATAGTCCGTTTCCGTTTCCGCAGCCCAAACAAAGTAACATTAATTACATAATAATGTGTGGAAATTGTGTCTTCTGGATCGGCAAATATTGCTGCAGGTGAAATGCGTGCGGTGTCTTTCTTCGTTTCCAAAGATTCCTGGAATTATGTGAAAGAGTGAGTATCTTTTTTCTCTACTTTTCCCGGAGCGCTTCAACGCAATAATAACACGTGATGTGTATGTGCACCGTCTGCCTACATGCATATACACATGCATATATAAATAGTATGTGTTTGAGAGAGATAGAAAGATGAAAGGATTGGGAGTGTGCAAGATGGAACAGGGTCGTAGCCTGAGGTGGATAATCGTCAGTTGGAGCTTCTGCTGCTGATGCTGATGGTGCAGGAGCAGCAGCAACAGCAGCAGCTTTCTTTGTTTGAGCGAATGAGAATAAGACTGCGACTGGTTTTCGTTTTGTGGGGGCTTATGCTGTACTGTGCATGCATTTATATACATATATATATTATTATAGGTCTGAGATGCTGGTCTGAGGAGTAGTGCGTAGCGTAGCGTATATTAAACGGCGTCAGAGATGGGAGTCAGAGTGGAGAGCTCCCCGGTAAAATTGTAAAATCCCTGGGGCCGAACGCGCATTCCACCCGATCCAATCTTGCCAATAATGAATAAGCTAATTGCCCCAAGACAAATCGTAAATCAATATAAATTGACCGCTTCCATCTTCTCTCCGAGATACTCGCAGCTCGGACTTCAAACGGCCCCCACGGACATCAGGCGCTGTTTATTCCGAACACACCCCTTTCTTTCCGCGCACCCCCTTTTCACATGACCGTCTAGGCTGCTTCTGCTTCTGCTGCTGCTGCTGCTACTGAATTACCTTCATCAGACGCAATCTGCATCGTATAATCTCTACGCGTTTTTGACTTCCCTTTTATTCGCAAATAATTGATACATCATACGTCTGTCGGAACCTTTAGTTTCAGCAGCGATTTGCTGCATTCCAATATTATACTTAAAAAAAAATATAATTGTTAGTGGATTTTCCTTTCAATTATACATTAGCGCAGTGGTATCCAAACTTGAAGTTACTACGTTCTAATTTCAATGCGTTTCAACTTTGAACGCGTATTACAGCAATATGGATAAGAGCACAGAAATGTATCTATACTTGCTGGATTCCCCAAACATTCAGCTTTCATATGCATATATTGGATTCATTCTATCTATTATATTTTTCGAATAAATCAATGAAATGTGAAAACACTGCTTTTTTCGACCGTTTTTTAAACTTTGAACGCGTATTACAGCAAAACTGATAAGAGCACAAGAATGTATCTATACTTGCTAGATTCCCC